TTATTCTTTTTGAGGTCAAGCATGACCTCGTCACTGCTCTGAACAATCCAACATCGTCGAATACCTTCGGTTCGAAAGAGTTGATTATCTTTTTCRCGAAGAGTACGGATGACGCCTTGAAGTGCTGTACTCAAATGAGCCGAAGTAGGCGTTGTACTAGCTACCGGCTTGTGAGGCGGTCGGTGATGCAAACGCTGGACTCGTTGGGAAGGGKGCAGGTCACTTCGCCGGGCCGTATGGGAAGAGGAAGAAGAAAGATTGTTTCGGGCAGTGATACCAAGAATAGGACGGAGTGTGGGAGGAGATTTATGGGCCTTAAGAACACAATAGAGATACGGCAATGTGTCAGCATGAGGATAATTCCAATGATTGTTCCAAACTGCATGGCTATTCAGAATGTCAGCCACTGATTCAGCAGGCSGAGAATACGYAGGACTGTCAAGGTGGCTTGACAGTTTGAATTTGTACCAATTTTTACAGCAAATAGCCAAATTATGTGATGTTTTGTCCACAGGAACAATCGCAAAGGATTTTTGAAGCTGWCGCAGGGCCGTATGCGCGTGCCGCAAAGAGCGAGGCTGTCGCAATGGTGATGCGGTAGTCATGTTGCACTCACAGTGACGCAAGACTGCAGCATGCCAATTAGCCAATTGTGGGGCTAGGGTAGCAGCACAGGATTGTCGTGCTGTTGGACGAAGATACGCAGCAATATACTCATCAATACCAACAGCCAATGCTTCAAGTATATCTCCCACTACCCCATTCAGCCGATATTTTGAGCCCTCATAGAACAGGCGACGAAGGTTAGCATCCGGAATCAGATCATAGTTGGCGGAAACAACATGGCCGTCAACCAGATCGGTGGAGTTAGGAAACGCCCGACGACAAGGGCAATCAGCAGCAGCAGGTAGGCACAGGTCCGGAGTGACACTCAAGGCCACTTCCGTAAAATTACAGAATTGTACCCTTGTTGGGGGCACGAGTTTGTCACAGATGCGAATGCTGCTAGCTGCCTGGGGGTCGGGGTGTAATGCACACACATCCGGAGAATTTTCTGATGAAGTTTCCGAAGGTGTCACAGGAATGAGCAGTATATCGTTGTCGGACGTGTTGAAATCGCCGAATAAGGCATTCAAGTTCACGGACGTCCGCAGTCATGTCTGCATTAGAAACATTTATATACAGCCATTGCAGCAGGCGAGCTCGCCAAGCGGGCGTAGCCTGCTGAATGGAAGCAACAACTTCGGACCAAGAACCCGCTGCGCCTAATGTCAATAACCGCCGTAACGTTGTTCGTACTGCTAGTTGAGGGCCCGGGCTAATATCAATGGTGAAGGCCCGAGAGGAGACGCCAGTTGGAGACGGGTGAGGAGAAACGGCACAATGATGAGAAGCAGCAGAGGAAGGACCAACTTGCCGCCTGCGATCGGGGCGTGGCTGCCGTCGAGGAGGCGGTAATCGAGACATGGGCAAAACTGCATTGAAGCCCGAAGGGTGCAAGGTTCGCAGCCGTCGGACCCAGAAACCCTCTCTAGGTGACGCCGCCCGCCGAAAGAGGGCATGATCAATCTCACCGCGATCCGTAATGTAGAGCGCACGATCAATACATTCAAGCGGCCAAAATTGAAGGGAGACTGTTGTCGCATGACGTGATAGAGGTGCCGATGACGATAGTCAACAGCAGTATGTCGCACATGCCAGTGCTCCTTCAAACGTTGATGAGCAGTATGGATTGTCTGGCCAACATAGAGACGCCCAGAGGGTATATGCACAACAGCATAAACAACTCCAGTAACAGAAAGCGGATCATTGCCTGGCTGGAGCAGCTGCTGGTCRRYACCTCTCAGCTGTAGTTCAAAGCGCTCAGTTGCGGTGACAGTATGTAGACAGCGCAATTGCTTTTTATGCCACGTTCCCGCGGAATACAAATCAGTATTCCAGCGATATATATATATAATAAAATCTATGCTGCGAGTGAGAAACATGGATGGACCATGATGGACAGATACATGCAGAACAGAGAGGAAAAGGGTTTTAGGTCCAACGACATGTAGTCTGCCCATTGACCATTCATCGTTGCCATGCGAAAAACTTTCCAAAATTCTTCGATCTTATGCCGAGAGAGCGCGACATAGATGGGCAGGTAGATGCGCAGAGGGCGAGGGTTTTAGGCCCCATAGTCCGGGTGCGGATCGGGACACCGAGCCCCGACCCCTTCAGCTTTCTTTTCTTTTTTTCCTTTGAAAGGGGGAGTAGCATACACCCTTATTGTGTTCATCTGATGGGCTCGGAATTCGAGCTCACGCTCTGCTTGCTAACAGTTAAAAGCGTGCACCAAAAAAAAAAAAAAAAAAGCGTGCACCATTCGGCCACCTCTACCTGTCTTTAGGGCGGAGGAATGCAGAACAGCGGAAGAGAGAGAACGGTCGAAGGATCAAGACCCGTCTATCCCTTGTGACACCCCCCCCCCCCCCCCCACCCCCCCCCCCCCAAAAAAAAAAAAAAAAAAAAAAAAAAAAAAAAAAAAAAAAAAAAAAAAAAAACAGAATCCGTTGTGAATGCATGCAGAGCTCACAGTGATGGCGGTCCTTCCCATGGTGACCCCTGGCTAACACAACCCCGCCGTTGACGATGGACATGACCCAGAAAAAAGAAAGATGGAAGAAGAAGAGGGAAGAAGAAGAGGGAAGGAGAAGAGGGAAGAAGAACTACCGACTTCTCATCCAAACCAAAGCCAACTCTCGTTTCTGTCCACCAGCCACCCGCCAACCTCAAACATTCGTTCCCGTCTGAAAACCCCACAGCAGAAAGAATCCAAGTACATGGATATCACATACTACATGTGGAAATACATGTGCGTTGTACGGATCGTGACACTCTGCCACGGGGTTTAGATATACCGGGAGTAGGAGGCGGAGGAGGACATTACACATAGCAGCAGATAAGAATGGTATGGTAATTCCCGACTCTTCCTCCTCTTCCCCGCTCGCCTTCCTCAATTTCCACACCCCCACTGATTTTCCACCTTTCTTTTCTCGATGCAATAAAGACGACGACGTATTCCAGACCGCGAAAAGCCGTTACTGTTGGTTTCATTTTATATTCATTTATTTATTTGCCTTTCCTTCTCCCTTATCAGACGGCCCAGATGAAGTTGGCATCCATCACGCCGCCTGACAAGCACACGAGAGGAAGACAGAAAAAGCAAGTCGCGCTTGCACCAAGCGGCAAGCCAAGACGCGCAACACAGCAAGAAAGGCCGTGCTTATCGCGCCAAGGGGCAGCACAGCCAACAGAGAGCAAGGCACGGCACGACACGACATTGCACGGCACGGCACGGCACGGCACGGCACGGCATGGCACGGCACAAAAAAGGACCCTGAGGTCTCTCTCGCGTACCGACATGAACGGCTCCAAATGCGAAACTTCAATGCAAGCTGATGGACCGGTCGACACTTTCCAGTTAATCGGTTCTTACGGCGTGCCATCTCTCATAACGCGATATCAACACGGAACCGTTTTTCTTCTAAACACTCGTCCATTCATCCATCCATCCATTCATCAAATCATTGGTTCGCCCATTCCACTACGCACTCGTCCGTTTCATGTCATTCATTTCACTTCGTTCGCCCCATTGGTTCCGTTCCATTCACTCGTTCATCCATACACTTATTTCATTCATGTACTCGTTCGTCAACTGATTCATTCATTCTTTGTCTCATGATGGTAAATGGCTTAGGTGATTAATTGTTTTGCATGTGACTGGATTGTTGAGCCAGAAGTGCTGCGTTTGGTTGGTAGTCTTTCGGGGGCGGGTATCGGCGAGGAAAGGGGAGAGAAGGAACAGATGGGTGAGAATGGAGAGAGGGGATGGAGTGGATAGACGGGAGAGGTAGGATGGGGTGGATGGAGGGGAAAGAGGGGAGAGAGGGGAGAGAGGGTAGCAGGGGGTAGCCTCGGCTCAGAAATTGCCTACACTGAAATAATCGTGAGGACCAAAAGCTGACGAAAACTCGATGAGGGGAGAGAGCGGAGAGATGGGAGAGAGGGGCGAGAGAGGACGGAGTGGATAGACGGAAGAGAGGGGAGAGAGGGGAGAGAGGGGAGCAGGGGGGGGCAGGGGGGTAGACTTGACACAGAAATTGTCTATATTGAAATAATCGTGAGGATCAAAACTGGCGAAAACTCGATCTAGGCCGTTGACAAGAGTGGAAATCGGTAAGTGTTAAAGCAGCGTGGGGACGCCTGGGGGGGGGGG